CACCAAAGTTGATGAAAACTTGCATATGGGGGTTAATTGAGGTCCTGATTACGAATATCACACTGGTTTCAAGCGCTGGCGCCACTGGGCGCCATTATGCGCCAATATGGCGCCAAATTGGCGCGTAATGGCGCCAAATGGCGCCAGCGCCAAAAATGAATGTTGGATTCGTAATCAGGACCTCAATTAACCCCCATATGCAAGTTTTCATCGACTTTGGTGAAAAAAGTGGTGGGCGCCAAATTGGCGCATAATGGCGCCAGATGCCAGCGCTCGAAACGAATGTGATATTCGTGATCAGGCATCGAATTACATCTATAGGCAACGTTTCAGCGAAAAAATTTTTTGAGTTTTCTGGGGTAGGAATAGTTCAATAGTGCCCAAATATTCTGTAGCTCTCTTGTTTGAAGCCAAGTAGGCTGGCTGACTGACCTGGTGAAAAATTTTGCATCTAAGGCATGTGCACTGCGGGCTGACCTGGTGCAGCTGTCCGATGGCGATCAAACGGAAATCGGAGAAAAGGTCGCAAATTGTAATTTCTTACTCTTTTGGTTATCTGTCACTTATCTGTTATTGATGTTACTCGTTTGCTCCTTTTCCAGGGTATTAACCTTTCCGGCGGTCAAAAATCCCGAGTTGCACTTGCCCGAGCTGTCTATCAGGACCGTGATGTGTATCTCCTTGACGATCCATTATCTGCAGTAGATGCTCACGTGGCCAAGCACATCTTCACAAACGTCATCGGACCAAAAGGCCTCCTGGCAAACAAGACAAGGTTTGGTTCTAAGCCACATGTTACCACATTCATTCGAAACAGCACAGGATGCGGTCAAGGTTATGGTGAGCCACCGGTCGGTACATATAGTTGATATGGTCGCAATCAGCTGGGGTGGTGTCAGGAGGATAGGATCAAACCGACCCTGCCACCTTTTCTACCAAGTGACCGGTTAGTGATCGAGATGGTTGAGTAAGAATACAACTGATGGCAGAAGACCTCGCTTACGCGCTCATTCCGCGCCTCATGGCACCGCTTCGACTGACTTCAGCTACTTCAATTTTGTATTTTGTTGGCCCCGGACGGACTTCTCATGCATCCCATAGCAGTAATTCCCTATATAAGAACCGATAAGTTGTGCCTAACTCCACTGCGGTCAAACATAAGGAAAGAATTAGAGTTATGCCCTGTCTTTTCGGATAGATATTTTGTTCAGAATCCTTGTCACTCATGGGCTTTCATTCCTCAAGGATACCGACGTCGTTGTTGTCATGAGAGGTCAGTTGAGTTCTTGTGTGTAGCTATCTAATCCTCTCATCAGAGCCGGCCCGCTTTATTCGCGAACGTTTTTGTTTTCAATTAAGGTGGTTCGATTATGTACTTGGACACATATGAACGTCTGCTTGAAAACAGCGATGCACTTGAAATCATTCAGGAAGCAGCTGCGAAACCACAGGAGATAGTGGAGACTGAATCTTCAGAAAATGTAGCTCTTACAGCAGCAATCATGCGCATTGTAGGCACTACACAATCAAAAGGCGTTGTTCAGTAGGGAAAAGAGAGCATTGCTATTTTCTTGCATGTGATAGAGAAACCTGAAAATGCATAGCGGCTTATGGCTTTCAGCCAGAAAGTTATAGGCAAAACCCCCCGCTTTTTGTGAAGGATGCAAGGTGGATTGGGAACACAACCGCACCATCAGGCAACTATTGGGAATGAAGCTGGGCGTCGTGGTCGCCCTCTGGGCGGAACGATCAACTTTTCACTAGCGGACGACGCTATGCTCTCGCCTTTTTGTCCTCATGGGGAGGTCTACGATATCCAGAGAGGGCGTTGGACATTAGATAAACGCGAGCACTGCCTTCAAAATGTCTGCGGGGGAGGAGTGGGGAAAGACAATAGAAATGACCGGGATTTCATGCTCAACCATTAGCTGCCCCCATATAAGTTTATGACTTCCGCAAATTGAGTGAGTAACGTCTCAGAAACTTCTAACTGATTTACTTTTTCGTCTCTCTTTCTCTGTCACACGGTCTCGGTTCAAATGAAAAGCTTCCCTTTCAGATCGGACGACGATACTGAAACCATTGACGAGTTCCCAATGGATGCTGAAGTGCTATCGGTCGTCAGTAAAGCAAGTCTACCACAGAGGAAATCTACAAAGGTTTCTTTTGCCAATAAAACATCAAAAAAGCGTCGAGGATTTCAAAAAGCGATTATTTCATCAGGGATCTTTGAAGAAGAAGCATCGAGGACACCTCATAGAGGAGGAGAAGAGCGCTCTAGGAAGGGTAGGTGACATTATAATGGTCAGTTACATATATGATTTCTTCAATGGATTCCTTCGCAGGTGAAATTCTCCGTCTATATGGCCTATTTCAACTCCATGGGTATTGTGCGCTATTTCGTACCGTTTGCGATAACATTATCGTTGAACTCAGCTTTCATGATGGCTAGAAGTTTATGGCTGACTGACTGGTGCATCTACAATTATTTGAATAATATTATATGTGATTCTTAACATCTTCTATAGGTCCAACGACAATGTTCCTGGAGTGGATGAGGCGCTTGCAAAACCACTCGGTGTCCGCCTAGGTGTTTACGCTATCCTTGGAACTCTAGAAGGTGAGCTATTTGACCTCCAACAGGAAAAGTGGAACTGCCTCTACAATGCAGGTATACCCTAGAATAGCCACGATATACATATTCCCTAGAAGAAAGCTGTATGAGCTCTTTCACGTCTAAACTATGGCCTTGTACTGGTTATCCGCTTGATTAATTTACCAGTCGGATCGCCCGGCTGACGCCGAGCTCTCCTCCTTCTCTTTAGCTCGGCTTCGCCGAGCTGGCCTGGCTTCGCCAGGCGCGCATCATAATTCTAAGGCAGCGTTCATACTTCGCGACAGCAGCGGCGATCGCGGCGACCTCGGCGATCGCCGCGATCGTCGGTACGTGGCAGAGCGCGCCCCAACGCTATTATGGACTGCTCGCTTGATAAATAAGGAAATCCAACTTGTGAGACCTTCTTTTCTCTTAATAATGGCTACTAACTGATAACTTACGACTTTCTATACATAAGCGGATCTGGAATATGAGGTAAGGAGGTTTCACTTCTTTTTAGGTCGGGATAAGGCCAACTCCATTTCCTGGGTGAGCTTCTTTTCGTTTCTTTTGTTTTTATTGTTTCAATTTATAGTTCTTATCGTCTTCGTCTAACTTCCAAAAATTATATAGTTTACAAGTCGAGTTCAAACAACGAAGAAAAAAAGAAATAGAAAGAAACTCACCTAGGAAACACTAATCATTTTACGCAACATCAACAGGTGAAAACTTTATAACCTCATGTATAAGCTCGACGAATGAAAAAAGAAACAATAAAAACCCTAAATGAAGCTCTCACGCTTTTTGCTCATTTCTATCCTGAATCAAGAAAGAAAATAGAAAACAAAAGCCATTAAGTTGGGTTCACCTTTCTTTGTGTCAAACCAAGCTTCAGTATCTAAGAAAATTGCAGTTAAAGGAAAAAAGCATGAAATTGAGTCGCTTCTTCCCAAAAGCCTTCGGAGCGCAAGTAATAGCGTTGGGGCGCGCTCTGCCATGTACCGACGATCGCCGAGGTCGCCGCGATCGCCGCTGCTGTCGCGAAGTATGAACGCTGGCTAACGGAGCTTTTTCAATAGTGGGCTGCTCATACGGCGCTGTAGTGATCGAATCGTAACAGATAGAGCAAGGCTTGGGATCCTGCACTACTTAGCACACGCTTCTATTTGCAGCAGGGGTGTGGTCCGCGCCATAACGCCCATACAATACATAAATCTGTAGATATAGATACAATGTGTAGTCGGCCAATACAGCGCAGTATGAATCGCTCAGTAAGAGAGTTCGTTTCCATTACCTGCACCGAAATGCCTACCAATGAACGTTTCCCTTTTCAATTAGCATGCAATCCGCTCGCTGAAGTATAATTATTAGTAGGTACTATGTTTAAAAGTAAAAGAGCTATGGGATCCATGAAGTGCCTACATTATTCAGGTTTTTCGGTTCTCCTCGAATTTCCGTGAGTTTCCTGTTTCAGGCGAACTACATACCCCCCCCCGCTCGTCGACATCGACATTATATAGTAGGATAGTGGGATGAGTTCATTTTCTAGTGCTATCAGAGAAGTGATGGCTAAAGGAAAAGTTTGCACACTGAGCCTTCAATACTTGGCAGTATAGTGATAAGAGATGTAATGAGAATGGCCCCTTATCCTTTCTTATCAATTGATAAGATTGCCTGTCACCCGTCATCAATGTCCCTATCACTAAAACTCTATAATTTGGTAGTGTAAAGGCTCCAGCACTTTGACTGAACAACAACGGCAACGTTCCTTATCAGCTGTTATCACCTCCTGTCACCTGCCGCCGATGTCCCCATCTCCCACTCTATATCAACGCCTAGCTGATACTGTGCCCAGCGTCATTAGTATGGTGACCTTACCATTCTAACTCCCTTATCAAATCCTATCAGCTGATATCACTCCCTGTCACCCATCAATAATGTTCCTGTCCCTATACCATACCTTGGAACCAATGTCCCACTGTTGCTGTGACCCGCGCTATGGACTCGGTGCCCCTCCCCTTCTGACGCCTCTTATCAGATCTTATCAGCTGATATCACTCCCTGTCACCCACCAATAATGTTCCTGTCCCACACCCTATATCATACCTTGGAACCAACGTCCCACTGTTACTGTGTCCCGCACTATGGACTCGGTCACCCTCCCCTTCTAAGGCCCCTTATCGAATCTTATCAGGTGTTATCACATTCTATCACCCAAGTGTTCCCGTCCTGCCATGTATATCACTTCTTGGAACTGTCGTCCTATCTTTTCTGCGACGCTCGCTGAATTTCGTGACAGACAGACAGACGCACACACACTGACAGACATACTTAGCGGATTATATACAGGGGGGGGGGCAATAAAAAAAGACACTTCGACCGAGTTACATATCAGCAAAGTTTTCGCAGCCCAGACAGAGGACGTGGATACGAGTACCGGGCGGAAGATACCCAAGATGTTCCTCTATAAGCAGG